AAGCCGAAGTACGCAAATATTTATTATTCGCCAAGACCAAAAGAGAATGAAGTTCCGAAAGGCGCCACTCCCGATTTCGAGCCGCAGCCAGCTGTATAATGTGGCCCTGCACCGTAGCTTTATGCACCTCCCATTGGGGCACTGCCAAGGAAACAGATCCTGAGTTGTCCGCAAAATAGGTTCATATGAAGGACTCAATTTGCTCACAGGTGACCTGAGTGCTCAATAAAGACTCATTAATACACCAATGAAAAGGGTGCTGCGCCATACCAGAGACTGCAAGAAGTAAGACCAGGGGATCATGGTCCAACCAGGGCAAGGAAGGGATAGATATCTGCCAGACTAATGGAAGCTGTTGCACCGGCATAAATACGTGGTCAAGTCTACAAAAACTGTCATGAGGATGGGAGTAGAACATGAAGTCATGCTCAGTAGGGTAAAGTTCCTTTCAAATGTCTACCAGCCCCGCAGACTGCAGGAGCGAGCACATACGTGCCCCCTGCACCAAGTCATGAGAAGGGGATGCCCCCCGAGCATCGCGCCGATCCAATGCGGAATCCAAAGTAACATTTGCATCCACCAAAAGGAGCAGAAGGTTCTTAGAGTGACGGGAAATGATAGAACAAAGGTGTGAGAAAAATTTGTGCTGAAAGCGATTAGAGGCATAATAGTAGACAAAGGTGACCTCCTGATCCCAAAGAGTGCCCTGCAAAAGTAGATATTTGCCTGTGGGGTCCGCTATATTCTGGATACAGGTGAAGGAGAGATTGCGCTTGAAGGCTATCAAAACACCCCATCGTTTCTCAGGAGCCGAGGCCGTGTAGAAAGTGGGATAATGAGGCAAAAGATACCGCGGGGTGGAGGACTGGGAAAACCTAATTTCTTGCAGGCATACCAGGTCAACGTGCTGCGATTTAAAGTGATAGAAGACTTTAGACCACTTCCGAGGCAAATTAAAACCTTGTACGTTTTGTGAATGTACTTTCAAGTGGGGTGTAGCCATGACAGGATCAGTGCATTCCACTCAGCAGAGAAGGCATAGGTCGGCCAATAAGGACCCCTCCCAGGGACAGCCAATCCACAGCATCCCAAAACCCTGTTGAAAACAAGAACAGCAAAACCAGGAAAGAGAGAAAGAAAAGGAAGCAGGAGAAAAAGAAACACAAAAAAATATGGAAGCATAGCCATATCACACCTAGCGAAATTATTATATTATTATTACTATGCAGGATTTATACAGCACCAACAGTTTGCTTAGTGCTTTACAATATAATGGAAGACAATACAGCAACAATACAGTTCAATACAAAAGGGTTAGGAGGGCCCTGCTCCTTGGAGCTTGCAATCTAAGAAGGAGGGCTAGTGGTACAAAAGGTAATAACTGTGGGGTATGGACTGGTAGGAGGAATAGAAGATTCCATTATTAGCTGAAAGCAGGATAGGTTTCCTTGAAAAGATAGGTTTTCAGAGATCACCTAACAGTGAGTAGAGTCGGTGATAGTCTGTTAAATTGGGGTAGAGAGTTCCAGAGGATGGGGGAGGCTCTGGGGAAGTCCGGGAGATGAGCATGGGAGAGGGGACAAGGGAGCTAGAGATTAGGAGGTCACGCAAGGAGCAGAGAGTACAGTTTGGGTGATATTTGGAGACAAGATTGATGATGTAATTTGGGGCAGAGTTATATATTGGCTTTATATGTTATTGTTTTGAACCTCATTCATTGGGCAATGGGAAGCCAGTGGAGGGATTGGTAGAGAGGGATGGCAGATATGGAACGGTTAGTAAGGTGGATGAGTCTGGCAGCAGCATTCAAAATAGACTGAAGAGGGGATAGCCTGCGATTAGGTAGGCCAATGAGAAGGGAGTTACAATAGTCAAGGTGAGAGATAAAAAGGGAGTGAATAAGTTTCTTAGTGGTTTCAGAGGTTAGGAATGAGCGTATCTTGGAGATGTTGCAGAGGTGAAGTCTAAAAGATTTGGACAGCGATTGGATTTGGGGCTGAAAGGACAGATGGGAATCCGGGATAACACCTAGCACCCTGGCATGAGGGGAGGGACTGATGGTTGTATTATTGATCTTGATGGAGAAGTCAGGGTAGGGTGCATGAGCTGGAGGGAATAGTATGAGCTCCCTTTTGGAAACATTTTGTTTGAGGAAGTGAAGTGACATTCATGCCGATATGTCACTTAGTAGATTAGAGAGTGGGGGGGAATAATGCGAGAGGAGACTGAAGAGGTGAGGTGAGGTGAGGAGTAGAAAGATAGATTTGTGTATCATCTGCATAGAGATGGTACTTAAAGCCATGGGAGTTTATTAAGTTACCAAGGGAGGAGGTGTAGATGGAGAAGAGAAGGGGTCCAAGGACAGAACCTTGAGGGACCCCTACAGAAAGAGGGAGTGGAGAGGAGGAGACAGAGTTATATGTAACACTGAAGGAGCGCTGCGATAGGTAGGAAGAGAACCAGGAGAGAGCAGAGTTTCAGAGGCCAAGAGAGTGAAGTTTTTTTTTGAGGAGGGGATGGTCAACAGTATCAAATGCCACAGAGAGGTCAAGTAGTAAGAGTATGGAGTAGTGGCCATTGGTTTTAGCAGTTAGTAAATCATTAGTGAGTTTTTAGCAGAGCAGTTTCAGTGGAGTGGAGTGAGCAAAAACCAGACTGTAGAGGGTCAAGAAGGTTGTTGTCAATGAGGAAGGAGCTCAGGCGATTGTAGACTAAGCATTCTAAGAGTTTAGAGGTAAACGGGAGCAGGGAGATGGGTCTTAAGTTGTTCAGGTTGGTGGGGTCCAGCGAGGTCTTTTAAAGTATGAGAGTGATGTGTGTATGCTTTAGAGGGGAAGGGAAGGCACTGTTAGAGAGGGAGAGATTGAAGATGTGAGTGAGGGAGCATAGGATCGAAGAAAGGGTGACCGTAGTATTTGTGAGGGGACAGGATCCAGGGGGCACGTTGTGAGACGGGATTCTGAGAAAACTTTAGTGACCTCTTCAGTAGTAGCAAGGTCAATAGAGGAAAGTGTTGAGGGAGGTTTGGTATAAGGTATGCTAAGTGGGATGGATGTCTGTGCAGTGGAGATGCCCCTATGAATTGCTTCAATCTTGTTTTTGAAATGATTTGCAACCTCGTAAGCAGTGAGTGAGTTTCTGGGTGGAGGTGGAGGTGGAGAAAGTAGAGATTTAAAAGTGGAGAAGAGACAACGAGGACTGGATGACAAGCTATTGATGAGAGTGACAAAGTAGGCTTGTTTGGCAGCATGGAGGGAGGAATTGTTTGTTAAGAAGGCAGATTTATATAGGGTGAATGCTTGGAGAGGTTTGGTTTTACGCCACAATCACTCCAGTGCACGACTATGTCACTTAAGATTTCTGGTGTCGTCAGTCTGCCACGGTTGTAACTGGCCTGATATTTTGTGTAGTTAGAGGAGCAAGTGAATCTAGTGTGGATGAAAGCGAACTGTTGTAGACAGCAGTGGCCAGGTCAGGGCAGGACAGGGAAGAGATTCTGTCATAGAGGCGGTCAGTTGCAAAGTGGAAAAAAAAGGGTTTAAGTTGTGAAGGCTTCTGCGGGTAATTGTTTGCTGCTTGGAAGCATAGGTGTTTGAAGATGAGGACACTGTGAAGGTAATGAGATTGTGATCAGGGAGAGGAAAGGAGTGTTTGTGAGGTTGTTGGGAGTGCAAAGATGGGAGAAAACAAGGTCTAATGTATTCCCATAAGTGTGAGTGGAGGACTGTGTCCATTGTGGTAAGGCAAAAGATGAGGTTAGGTTGAAGAGTTGGGATGTAGCTGGGTTGTTCACATTAATGGGGATGTTAAAGTCTCCAAGAATGATAGTGTGTATTTCAGAGGAGCAAAAGTAATGTAGCCAGGCAGAGAAGTCATCAAGAAAACGAGACACTGGTCCAGGAGACCGATAGATCACTGCAATCGTCAGAGAAATAGGAGAAAACAGCCGAATGCAGTGAGTCTTGAAAGAAGAAAAGGATAGAGAGAGGGAGTGTTAGGGAGGACTTGAAAGGTGCTCAGTGGGGATAGAAGTAAACCAACTCCACCACCTTTCCGGCCACTGGGTCTGGGTGAGTGGGTCCAGAGAAGGCCTCAATAGGAAAGTCCTGAAGGGAAATATTCTTCTGATTGAAGCCAGGTTTTTGTAATTGCTAGTAGGTTAAGGGAGCGGGAGACAAAAAGGTCATGGACAGAGGTGAGCTTATTATAGACAGAGCAGACATTCCAGAGTGCACGTGAAAAACGGAGGGTGGTTTTTAGGAGCACAGGGATTGAGATTAAGTTGAGCATACTGGAGGACCAGGATTTGGAGAGATATCCCCAGAGGTTAAGAGAAGGAGGGTAAGGAAAGTAAGGTGGGACCGGGATGTATATGAGTACATGCCTTCCTGTCCTGGTGTTTGGGTCAGCAGGTGAGTAAAGTATCAGCAGGAGGTGATGAGAGCAGTAGTAGGGAGATGATAGAAGTTAAGGTGATATGTATAAGCTTTGGGGCACAGTAGAGGGGTAAAGAAAGGAGATTTTGGGAACAGAGGATAGTTATATGAAAAGGAGGAGTATTAAAAGGTACATGGAGTGGGACTCAGACTTGTAGATCAGGGGTCCTCAAACTACGGCTCGCCGAGGCCATTTATCCAGCCCGCCGGCAGGGGTGTATTTTCCGCGAGGAAGGGACACTAAGCACAGGGGTGGACAGGGGGCTGCTGTACCTTACCTGGCTCCGGTCCCAGTCCCATGACAATCCAGTGCAGGAAGCGCTACTCCTTCATTCACTCCGGCCACTCCCTCACTCCTGCCGCTCGGCTCCGCCTCCTCACCGGTGATTGGGCGCCAGAACTGTAGCTCAGGAAAAGCACACAGGCGGCCAATCACCTGCGAGGAGGCGGAGCCGAGCCACCCCGCGAACATCGAGTGAGGGAGAGGTCGGAGTGAAGAAGGACAGCTGACAGGTAAGTGTGCCGTGCTGATGGTGCTGGTGCAACCAGGTATGTTGGCTGCAGCAGCACCATGCTGGAAAAGGGGTCAGCAATTTAAGTGTCATTGGTGTCAGTGGGAGGAATAGTGCCCCGTGATTGGTGTCACTGATACTAATGATGGGGCACTATTCCTTCCACCGACACCAATGATGGGGCACTATTCCTCCCCCCACTGACACCAATGATGGGGCACTATTCCTCCCCCCTACTGACAACAACGATGGGGCACTATTCCACCCCCACTGACACCAGCGATGGAACACTATTCCTTCCCCCACTGACACCAATGATGGGGTATTATTCCTCCCACTGACACCAATGTTGGGACACTATTCCCCCCCACTGACACCAATGACGTACTATTCCTCCCACTGATACCAAAGATGGGGCACTATTCTTCCCACTGACACCAATGATGGGACACTATTCCTCCCACTGACACCAATGATGGGACACTATTCCTCCCACTGACACCAATGATGGGACACTATTCCTCCCACTGACACCAATGTTGGGACACTATCCCCTTCCCCCACTGACACCAATGACGGGGCACTATTCCTCCCCCCACTGACACCAACAATGGGGCACTATTCCTGTCCCCACTGACACTAATGATGGGCACTGTTCCTCCCACTAACACCAATGATGGGGCACTATTCCTCCCACTGACACCAATGACACCAATGATGGGGCACGATTCTTCCCACTGACACCAATGATAGGGCACTATTCCTCCCACTGACACCAATGATGGGGCACGTTTCTTCCCACTGACACCAATGATGGGGCACGTTTCTTCCCACTGACACCAATGATGGGGCACTATTCCCCCCCCTCCGCACTTTCCTCCCCCCCACTGAAACTAATAATGGGGCACTATTCCTCCCACTGACACCAATGATGGGGCACAATTCTTCCCACTGACACCAATGATGGGACACTTTTCCTCCCACTGACACCAATGATGGGACACTATTCCTCCTACTGACACCAATGTTGGGACACTATCCCCTTCCCCCACTGACACCAATGATGGGGCACTATTCCCTCCCCCCACACTGACACCAATGATGGGGCACTATTCCTCCCCCCCACTGACACCAACAATGGGGCACTATTCCTCCCCTCACTGACACTAATGATGGGGCACTTTTCCTCCCACCGACACAAATGATGGGGCACGTTTCTTCCCACTGACACCAATGATGGGGCACGTTTCTTCCCACTGACACCAATGATGGGGCACTATTCCTCCCACTGACACCAATGATGGGGCACTATTTCACTCGATAAGACACACTTGGGGGGAAATGTCTGTGCTTCTTATGAAGCGGCTGGCCCAGTATTCCCACCGCCGTTGTATGTCCGCAGTCTCTGGTCATCTCCTGTGCTGTGTCTGCATTTGTTCATAGTTTTTTTTTTTTTAAACTATAGTCCGGCCCTCCAACGGTCTGAGGGACAGTGAACTGGCCCCCTGTTTAAAAAGTTTGAGGACCCCTGTTGTAGATGTTTCCCAGGGTGTTTGCTTGCAGTCCATCCAGCGTGCAGTAGCGTTTTTTGTTGTATCCTCCTGCTGCTTGAGTTATCCTGCTTTAGTTAAACTGCTGTGTTCAACTGCTGCTTCACACTCATACACTCACGCACTCATGCATAAAACTGCACCCCCATCTGACTGTGGCCCCCATCTGTAATCTCCCCCATAAGCTGGTCTAAATTAATAGGGAGATGGTCAAATGAGCAACTCTTCTCCGCCCCAATTAGGAACTGATAAGGATCACATGAATTTGGGGGGGGGGAGATGTTGCTCAAAGACAGACCACAGACACATGCCAAAGTCCTAAAAGAAATGCAAGAGGAGGTGAGAATCAATCACCACAAACAGACCAAAAGATATACACTAATTGTTCTGAGTTTTTAAAAAAGTCTATGCGTTGCAGAAATTACAGTTTAAGGTGGAGATAAGACAGCAGATGGGACAGCAGCATTTACCCAGAGTTAGCAGAAGTCTATGCATTGCAGAAATTACAGTTTAAGGTGGAGATGAGACAGCAGCATTTACCTGTTAAAAAGCAGAGAAGACATGTTCAGGGGGCTGTGTTCAACTGCTGCACCCTATACTCCAAGGATACCAATTTGGGGTGGCTCAACCATCGGACATATGGCTGAAAATGAATACATCAATAACCTAGGCCCCCAGAGAGCAAGGGGCAACAAATATAAAATATGAAACAGTCAATAACATGACTACATCCCTCGTCAATATGAATAAGGGTTTACAGGAAGTGGGACACATCCATGAAAACCCTCCCACTGGAAACCAGCTAAGTTTAGGGACCTAACCCCCACCGGGAAAAGAACCACAGGTCACAGCGGAACTCAACCCAGATGGTCCCCCACTACAGTACCCCAGCAAGACCATCAGCCTGGTACCGAATAAGGGACAATCAAACCAACCTCCCTCCCCGGGACCCGGGGAAACTATCGGCCCAAGCCACCCCCACTAATCTGGACACCCTCGCCAAGACCCCTAATAGTCTATAGTGGAGGATAGTCTCAGAGCCCAAGTCTGGTCGGTGACCCCCTACCCAAGGAGGGACTCAGGGGAGATGATCGAACAGGATCCCAACCCGCAAACCAGGGCCAAAACCGGGGGAGCCCAAAAGACCAAACTCACGGTCCCATCAAACAGATTCAACAATGAGGCACAATGAAGGAAGTCCTGGACACAACTTCAGCCCGGTGAGAAGCAGGTCAGAGTGGAACGCAGGTAAGTCCGCGGAAGGGCCCTCTTCCGGTTGGAAAACTTCTCCCAAAGGTGACCCAGAGGAAGTGGCCCTGTCTGGGATCAAGATGCATGCGCCAGGCTCTGCGCAGTACCTCCCGGTGGGATAAGATGTAAGGATTCCAGAAGAGAGTGAGATTCCTCCGGCGTGGCAAAGGAGTGGCTATGGCCTTGATAGTCGAAGGTGAGGCGGAAAGCCCCATGTTTATCTGATTCTACGATTCACCAAGACCGAAGTGAAGGGCTTTAACTGGCGACATTTCTGAAGTGTGAGCTGGGAGAGATCCGAAAAAAGCTGGTAGCGATGCCCCTGGAAACTGAGGTCTGGGTTATTCCTGACCGCCAAGAGAATAGATTCCTTAGTGCGATAATACGTGAACTTGATAATAATGTCTCTTGGGGGCCCCTCCGGCCGTCGGGTCAAACTCAAGTCAGTCGATAGGAATGGTGAGGGCCAGCTCCTGAAACAGGGCAGTGGCAGTTGACGTGAGATCCGTAATGGTTTCAGGAATATCCCACAGGAATAGGTTACCTTGGCGGGAGTGGTTCTCAAAATCTTCAAGCCGGAGCAGCGTATTCACCAATTCCTTCATAGGGTCACTCAGATCCTGCTCATGATTTTCAATCACCGTAACTGCAGCATCCATTTTATTAGGGAGCTGGGCAATCGTACGAACGATCTTGATCATTCGTACGATTGCCCAACTCCCTAATTTCTCTAGAGAGACGCTCAGCCAGCCTGGAAGTAGTGGAAGACAATTCGACCTGTAGCATGGATTTAAAGTGATCTTGGAGCTCAGCATCCCAAAGGGCACACATCAGATCTCAATGGGGAAAGATATCATGCTGGATATCTATACTGATATGCCCCATTGTTTGATGAAAATGAAAATGATCAACCTACAGAGGACTGAATTCAAAGACACCCTGAAAATCAAAGTGAAACAATGATGCAGCAGGCTAGTCCATTTTGCTGAAATTTCATTGCAGCACCTCAAAAAGTTTGTATGCTCCCAAGTGCTTGTGTGCATGCCTCACAATGTCAGCAGGGCATGCTTCTACTGAGGTGACAGTTGGTGTCCTAGGGGCGCTCATGAGCAGCGCAGGGAATGGCAGCCTGACCTCCGCGCTCCTCCGCCGCCGGGCACATTTCTTCATTAATTGGCCTCCTGGGGAGCCGGTTCAATCCCCCACTTTTGTCCTCACTCTCCACTGACCCCCCCGCTACCTATGGGGAACAAAGCCCTCCCACAGCCCCCCTTGTGGGACACAGACACAGAATTGGGCAGCTGCACTGATGTTCTTGAAGATAAGATGGACGCCACGGCTACGGTGATTGAAAATCATGAACAGGACCTTTCAGGTCTGAGAAGAGAGCTTGATGCGGCTCTCTTGCTCTTGGAAGATTTTGAGAATATGTCCCGTCGGGGTAATCTTCGCCTGCGTGGCCTGCCCGAAGCCATCGTTGACCTCACGTCCACTGCTACCGTACTTTTTCAAGAGTTGGATCCGGCGATACCGATAGACCGTCTGGAGTTCGATCGCATTCATTGGGCCCTGGGTCTGAGGAAGACTGGGGATCCTCCTAGGGACATCATAATTAAATTCACCTATTACCATACAAAAGAATTGCTCCTTCGCTCTGCGCGAGACAAGCAAGATCTTCGCTTTCAAGGTCATCCGTAGCAGCTGTTCGCAGATCTGGCACCATCCACCATACAGAAACATCGACAGATGAAACCCTTCACGTCAATCCTCTTGAACCGTCATATCAAGTACCAATGGGACTTTCCATTTAAGCTTACGTTCGTGTACCAAGGTCGAAGCCATGTTGTCCACAATCCGGAAGAGGCCAAGTCGACCCTGGAGGCGCTACACCTTCTGCCCTCACGGTATACCTCCGACAGCCCGGTGTGGCCCTTTGGTTCCCATCCTCCTTCATCTCAGCCGGGGCGTATATGACAGAAAGTTGGTAGCCGTAAACTCTCCTTCCCTAGTACCCCTCCATTGTCCGAATCCTCCCACTCCGATCCAGGTTGAGTAGGGCTGGATGGGTAACACTTTTAACTTTTCAAATGGCTTGATCCACTGTCGTAACTTTCCGCATTTCTGATGGGGCGGAGACCTTGAACGGCCCTTGTTGTGCGAACTTTTCACGTATCTGATGTTGCTTATTTTTGGTTTTACAGTTTGAAATATTTTTCTATGCAATACTGGTCTGTACTGGTGGTGCTACTCGTTCCCCTCTGGCTCCTCGTGGTCCAATTTTAACCTCCTTGGCGGTATGATTCTTTCCGATTTTTTGTGCTGAAAGCGGTACCATTTTTTTGC